GGTCCACTGCCCCTCGGGAAAAGGGCCTGCAGTTTGCGGCACGGAACTGGTGTCTGGTGAAGGTCCATCCCCATCGTCCGTGGGTCATCACTTTGCAGAGCCTGGAACTCAGCTTAAACTCCGAGTTAAGTCCGCAGCCTACTCTTCCTTCCGGGTCAGGCACTGCCCTCGGGCCGCCATCCTTTCCTCCTGCAGGAATTGTCCTGTTCAGCTTTGAGTCCTGCTTAAACGCATCTCCGATCCTGGGACCCTCTGAAGAGTGTTCTCAGAGCAAGTTTCAGGTTTACGTGAGGCCTGGAGAGGGAGATATGACCTCCATCCACTGACATGAGGCAGAGAAAGGCAGAGGCCGCTTCCGGTCAGGAAGTCACCGCCCTGGTGTCCGGCCCCGTGCCCCCTGTGAGGGCCGGCCTGCCTGCCGGCTCAGGGCTCACTGGCGGTGGGACCCTGTTTTGTGCACCACGGGAAGCTCTCAGGATGGGCCTAGGTTCCTCACGGACAGACGCTCTCTCTCAAAAATCCCAGCTCTACCTGCTCCAGGCCAACAGATCCCAGGTACGACCTTTCTGCCAAAGGCCCAGAGGGACCGAGCTGTCCCCACCAGGGTGTGGACACTAGGAAGACACCAGACTGGTCACGGGTCTTTATTTATTGAGAATTCACACGAGGGAACATTACACAGTAAATCATGTCCAGGGCTTAATAAAAATGATTGTCACTCACTGTGCTTCACAAAAATTTCTTTTAATGAATAAATAATTTGGATGAACTCAAAGATATTTACAATATACACAAAGGGAAGAGCCTCGGATCTCTGACTCTGACAGCCGACCTCTGCGGTTCTGAACTGAACTCCCTCCCAAGCTTTTCCCTCGGAAACAATACAAATCTGATAGAAACCACAACTCAGACAACTTATCTCTGTTCATGACGTGTTTATGTTAGTCTCGGGAAGCGACAGAAACTTCTATGGTGCAACATGTTAAAGTACAAATATTAACTAAAATAATATATTACCATAATGCTGGGCAGCATTCTCCACAGAACAAAAATGTACACTCAGCTGTAACAATAACGAAGGTTCACGGGCCACAGAATAATACCCCAAAGGTACAAATTCCTTCATAAGAATATAATTGTGCTCTTCAGTTCGCCAGCTGTCCACGCCGCTCCAGGGACCCGGCGCCCCGGACGCTGGAGCTTGGCGACGGGGGAGATGCGGGGAGGCCTCTGGAGGCAGCAGCGCTGCTGGGGGCTGGGCAGCGCAAGCGCTTTTAGCAACGCTCGCTTGGGCTCTTCCAAGAGCCGAGGATGCAAAGCAAAGGAAGCGCATTGAGAAGCCTTCATCTCGTCCGCACCAACTCCACGGGCCGTCCTGGCCCCGCGGGCTGAAAGGCGCGTCTGCAGGGCTCCGGGTGCCGTCAGCCCGAATTCAAGTATTCCAGGGCTACCTCGTAGCAGAACTTGTACTGGTCCTGGAACACAGAGAGGACAGAGCGTCAGCCTGGTGACGACTCAGTGCTGTTCCTACCAAAGCAATGATGTCACATTAGGGTTTTCGCAGGAAGAAATCACACCGAGAAGGATGTTAACTGGCAACCAACCCGACAGTTGCGGTTCGGAACCGCAAGCGTGTCCGCCGTTTGTAGAAGTTTCCCACGAGGCCTGATGGAACAGGGACTGTGACATCGATGCTCGTGAGAGCTTCTGGGACGGACGTTCCAGACACGTGGAAGGACCGATAACCCTCCACGTGGAAGGAGGGGTTGTCTCTGTGATCTGCTCAGCGAATAAACGTGGTCTCTCTCCTGGCCCAGCTCTCCCTGATTTTCATTCAGCGGGACTTCCTCCCTCTTACCCGAGTTTACTCAGCATCTCTTAAGTACCAAGCACCTGGACCTGGTCCCTGACTTGGAGAAGGCCATGGTCCAACAGAGAGGAGGGGCAGGGACCTGATGACACTCACGGGCAGAGCTGAGTGGAGCCCACAGACAGTCCCCATGTGGATACTGGAGGAGGGTGCGGAGCCTCTTAGGGAAGGTGTGCAGGGGTGGTCAGGAGTAGGAGACACTGAGGAGGGGGTTGGGGCAGAGGGCTGTGTGCCTTGGTTTGTCCGGGACAGTCCCGATTTCCACCTGTTGTCTCGGCAGAATCCGTAGTCAGATCACTTCACTCTCAAAGCCTCCCAGTGTGAATGATAAAGTATGTGGTCATCCTGACCGGAGATGGAGCAGGCACTTCAGGTGGAGCGACAGGAAAAGGAAACGCACAGAGGGGGCCACACGGCAGTTCTTAATCGGGCCGTGGACCCATTTCTCTTGGGGAAAGCCTCCTCCAGTCAGGGACTGCAGCCTGAGCACCCCAGCGTGAGGTCCTGGCCCAGGTGGGGTCTCAGGTGGGAGAGGAGGGCATCCCACACCTGTGTTTATGCCGTGAGCTGCTGGACACTCGCCGGGGTGTGGCCTCTGAACCAGGTGGAGGGACCCAGGCTGGGGACGCCTCCATCTTCCACGAGGCAGCAGCCCAGCCCCTCAGCAACCAGAGGCCCCACCCCCCCAGAGGGGAGGTCAGTTTTCACCAGCCATGCAGGTCACACCGCTGTCTCATCACCAATACAATGGCCACAACTGAGGGAATGGGTCTCTTATTTGGGAGTTCACCAAATTAATTAAAAATAAATTGCCGTTTTTGGACATGTGCCTAATTAGTCATTGCAATTTTCTTTCTTCACCTACATTTTGTTCTCTAAATGCCCCACTAGGCCAACCTACTTATTTGAAGCCATGGTCTGTCCCCTCGGTCTTTAGCAAAGAGCCCAGCATGCAGCTGGGGCTCAAATGTTGGTGGTGCAAGTAAATGATGACAAAACATGGGTGTATTAGCGTCTGATTCCACCTGATAAATATTTAAGGCGAGAGACTGGGGATTTCCAGACAAAGCCTCAGCCCTCAGGTGGTACAATCCAGAGGTAAAGACAGAAAGGAGATGGGTGACTTCAATACACTGAAGTGCCACAAAATTAAACATCAATGGTGGTACCTCCTCCCATGACGGCTAAAACATAAAGACAAGTCTCGGGAAGGCTGTGAGACGCTGGAGCCCTCCCACTGCTGCTGGGGCTGCAAGATGGCACAGCCCCTAGGAAAACCGCCTGGTGCTGGCCCACGCCCCAGCGAAGCCACTCCCGGGCACAGGCCCAGAACTGGAAATAGTGGCATGAAAACTTTCTGATTCACATCCCAGGGTTCATTACTTCAGGCTCTGATACTTTTATTTTCAGACTATTTCAAAGAAGTCATTTGAATTTTGAAATTCTGACACTGTCAGGCCACGCTGGCTGTGGAGTGCTCCAGCCAGGTCTGTTTTGGGGGATCACACTGACGTTTCACTTCCCCTCCCTAAGAGGTCCAATCCTTTATCGCAGAACTATGATTCTGTACAAACCTAACTGCAATTCATTCCAGTGCCGACTATGAACTAACTTTTTAGTGCATTAAAATGCACTTGGAGGGGGAGGGTATAGCTCAAAGCTCAGGGTGGAGTGCGTGCTAAGCAAACACAGGGTCCTGAGTTCAATCCCCAGCACCTCCATTAAAATAAATAAATAAACCTAATTACCTCCCCCCACCAAAATAAATATAAAAAAATAAATTAAAATGTACTTTGAGGGCCACATGGCTGCCAGCCTCAGGTCACAGGGCAGGTGAGGGCATGGGAAGGGGTTTTGGGTTCCCTGCAAGGAGCGGCTGTGGTGGGAGTCAGGCAGGGAGCCTTGTCGCAGGCCGGACTACAGTTTTCAAAGTGAATTCTCGCTCACGTCTTATGCCTCCTAAGCAAGTTGCCAGTCCCCATAGGCTCTGTGATGACTGGTTTCTGAATCAGGAAAATAAGGGTACCGAGAAGAAAGACCAAGAATGGCCACACCCCCTGCCCCAAGCACCTGGGGAAATGCCTGAAATCCACTGGAACCTGATCAATTTGGTCGAGGGTCCAGGGCCGCCTTCTGCGGTTCCCCTCCCGCTCACTGGCTTTTGAGCAGTGTAATTTGGCCGCACGAGCCTTCTCTGTGCTTCAGGTGAAAAAGCCCGTTTACGCCCTGTCCCGGGTTCCCAGATCTGGGTGACATGAGCTGGTGCCAGGAGCAGGGGCTCATCTTTGAGCTTGACCGTAACCAGGGCGACTCCTCTCCAAAACTCCTGACTCCAGCTTCACTCCAGACCCAACTTCTATTCCCACAAAGAGGAAGAACGGGAAGTCTGAAGGGCACAAGGCAAGGGCACGCTTTGAAAGCCCCTGCTTTCCCGGGGAGGCGTCATGAGGCCACAGTGCCAGCGGCGGCTGTGGGCAGCTTCCCTGAGGGTCTGGGCAGTGCCTGTATCAGTGAGGCGGCCTGAGCCTTCAGGGCTGGGCCCCTGAAGCAGATGCCACCAGGGTCCCAGCAGCGGGCCGCACAGCTGGTGGGGGCACAGCTCGGGGACCTGAAGGAGTCTCTCTGATTCCCCACCTGAGGTCTCCACCCTCTGTTCCTACGTGGAGCAGGAGGGATGGAGCAGGAGGCTGGGGGGTGGGCTTGGCCCCGCCCTGCAGCCCGCCTGGCAGGACAGGGAGGCCGGTTTACCTCCTGAACCATGCTCCCTGCCCTGCAGCACAACACGTGGGCTCGGTCTGCCCCGCTTTTCTGGGGCTGGCCTGGGCATCTGTGTCTGGGAAGCGCCCAGGCGATTTCAGGTGCAAGTGAGCTGAGAGCCTTTATGGACTGGCTACACACCAGAATCACGCGAGGGGCTTGTAACGCTTTGCGCTGAAGCCAGGTTGAGACCAACGGGATCAAGCTCTCTGGGGTGGGCCAGGGATCAGAATTTTTTAAAGCTTCCATTACAAAAAAAGCCCATTGCATAGAAATGGAGACTAGCGCTGCGGTTGTCGAGGGGAGGGCAAGGGGGGTGATGCTGGTTAAAGGGTAGACACTTTCGGTTGTAAAAAAAGCAGGTTCTGCGGATCTAACGTACAGTACAGTGGCTTGTAACGATATGGGGTCGTGTACCTGAAAGCTGCTGGGAGCAGGCAGTAAACGTTCTGACCGCGCACACAGAGTCGCTATGCTGATGATGCGAGGGACGGGTAGGCTCACTACCCTCATCCTGGCAACCCTTCTACAATGCGTATGTGTCTCAAATCATCACACTGCTCAAAGCTCCCACTGCCTCCCAGGGAACAGCACGTTTCTCTAGGCAAGATTGATCACCTAAAGGCTGTTCCTCTGTTAAAACAGATCCCTGGAAACTTCAAAAGTCAAGTGCGGAGGCAAAGGTGAGAGGACTGCTGAAGCAGCCAGTCTTCCAGCAACTCTATCAGGTTCAAAGGGGCTCAGGGCGGGCGACTCGGTGTGCATCTGACCAGCCCAGTAGAGCCGACCTCAGGCTGTCCCACCCCGGCTTGCCCCCTGGGACCCAGTCCTTTGATGATGACTGGAGGCCTGCTGAAGAGGCAGATAACTGAGAGACTGGGCTGAGAGGGTCAGGAGAAAAACCTAGCTGCCCCCAGCATGAAAACATCCAGCCTTGTGTTAAAATAATTTTGATTCCTGGCCATCAACTGGCTTTTCCCTGGAGCCCCCCCCCGCAAAATGAAATGTTTGAAGAAATAAATCTGTAGGGCCTTCTGGATCTCCCTTGAGAACGTCATGCTTCAGGAAGGATGTGTGAATTTCCTAAGGGCCCACAGCATGCAGATCCGGAGTTGGGCAGCTGGTCAGGGCTCCCCACCCCCTCCGGCCTGCCTCCCAGCAGCCAGCATGAGAGTGCACCCCAGGACGTCCTGACTCACACTTCACTCTGCGCAGGGGCACTGGCAGGACCCATCTCTTTTCAGCTGTTGGTACAACATTCTGTGCTTAGGTCTCAGATGGCCTTTTATGCCCAGTAAAACTGCACCAGATTTTACCACCCAGACCTGAATTAATTCCCTCAGCCAACGTACACACATACAAGCACCAAGCTACAGAATGTACTTACAGGCAAAACCAACCAAACGAGAGCCCTTATCCAACTCTAGAAGCTTCAAACCCACTGGGAAGGGCACTGTGACATTCTCCCTCTGGCCACCAGACATTCTCTCTCCTCCTTCCGGCAGTCGCAGTGACAAAGTCACCGGGCATCTTCCCCAGGAAATGTCAGAGCTTTCCGGCACTTCTCAGCCACGGAGCTCATCCTCAGGCTGGGGCTGACCCTCAGGTTCCGGGCACCCAGGGGTCCTATTTCTCTGTCAGAATTACACACGACTGCAGCGACACCCAGGTTGTTACAGGAAAGTGGGCTGCGATCAGCAGCTTTGTGTAGCGTCACCTCATCCCATAGTCTGCACTGCGGCTTTGGGAAAAGCCAAACTCTGCGCATAAAAACCGGTGGGTGACGGAAGCTACCGCGAGAGTCATTGGAGGAAAGACCTGGAAGGGTCTTTTTCTCACGATCTGCTTAATTCAGGCTGCAGTGGGAGGGAAATGGCGGCCTTGTCTTTAAAAGAAAAATCAAGGTCAGCTTTGCTCAGGTGCCGATTAAGGTTTGGACGCTACACACGTCCCTGAGTCAGGGCCTGAAATGCCGAAGTCCCAATCAGAGCACTCTGATTTATGCATTTGTCTCCATCCTCTGCCAATCTGCTTATCTGTTCTAAACTCAGGCCACCTTTACCTGCCCAACTGTCCTTTTCTCAATTGCCCCCAGCCCAGACGACGGAGAATTCCTGGATGGGGGAACTCTTTCCAATTCAGGGTGGGTCTCGCAGTGTGAGACGATTCTCTGACTCTGGGAGGGGGTGGTCTAGCGAAGTCAGGGCACGGAACAGGCCTCCCAGCCCACCCATGTGACATCCGGACTGTGGGAAGGCACCGCGTGTGTAAACACTGCTGCTACCTGGGTCTCCACCCCTTATCCAGGGCTGGAACTCACCTGCCTCAGGAGGGCTGCTGGCTGCACGGGCCTGGCGACACCTGTGCTGTCAGAGACCTCCGTTCTCACCTGCACCGCTTCCCAAACATGTTCACACGTATCGTCACGTGGGGTCCCCTCAGCAAATCAGTATCATCCCTAGTTCGCACAACCCAGGCTTGGGACAGTCGAGTGACGTGCACGAGGAGACTTACATGGCCAAGCGCATTTGTTTGAAGTTGCTTCACCTGAATTAGCTGGGCTGACTAGAATTAGGGTCTGCACGGGCTTCCCCAGGGCAGGGCAGGGCCGGGCCAGGAGCAGCAGTTTGCGGGGGAGGTGGGGGCACGATCCTTGGGCACAGAAGCCAGCATGGTAACTGCTAATGGTTTTGAGTGTCTGCACCTGGCCCGTTTACCACACTCCTCAGGCAGCACTGGGCTTCTTGGAACCAGGACAGCTCATTAAGCATGAGGCTTGGATGCGGGGAACAGATGCCACAGGAGGGTGACCTGTGCTGAGTAGGGCTGGGACGTGTCCCAGGAGGCGGCCATCACGGGTCACTGTCTTTACCCAGCCTGGGCACTGCTGAAATGACCGGGGACCACTGCTGCCTCCTCATTTAGCTTGAATCTCGACTCTCTCTTCAGCCCCTTTATTCTATTTAAAATTGTAACGCCACTGCGGCCGTGCACTGGACCCAGGACGCAGACTTTCCAAGCTCATCATCGCACCCCTCCCCCTCCCAGCCATCCTCCCCGACTGGGATTAGTCCTATGTTCCCTTCAGATCCTTCCTCCACTAACAGAGAAGCACAAAAACCTAATGGAAAAGCTCCCTTCTTTAAGCTGCTCTGCTCTCCGAGTCACAGTGGTTGGCATTTCAACAGCTCCACACAAAAAGGAGATTTCATGAAACACTCTAATAATTTCACTTCCACCTCTTTAATCCTTTCCCCAGATACGGCCACTGTAATTAAACGCAATATTCTGGATGTCAAGCTCAAATTCCCGCCTTTGATAAATATTAGGTGATTAAGCTATTTATAAAATATATAATTTGAAACTCTGGCATTTCATGTGTACGAGTATTTCTTCCCCAGGAGGACGAAATGCTCAGCCGTGTGGAAGGCACTGCAAAGAAGGGGAATTAATAAGAACGTTCACTTTTTGAGTTTCAGCTGTTCCCTCATTTCGAATGTGTCGAGATGAAGTCTTTTTGCGAAACGGCAGAGAGAGAACGAGGTAGGGAAACCGGCAAAAAGACACGACCGCGCTGTTTCACCGTGAACGCCAGCCGCCTCCCCCGGGGGTCAGCCCGGGCTCCCGCTACCCGGGAAGGGCCCCCTGGGCGGGACGGCGCGGGTCCTACCAGCAGGTCCACCATGTTGGGCTTGTTGTTCCTCAGCGTCTTCACCGCGTGGAAGACGTCCACCGTCCTCTGGTGCCGCAGCATCTCGCAGACGATGCTGATGGCGCAGAAGGTCCCGCTGCGGCCGCCCCCGTTCCTGGAGGGGGCAGAGGAGGCAGGTGGTTGCACGAGGCGACCTCACACCGCGCGGCCGAGACCCCTCC